AGCTCAATCCTGAAAAATAGAAACATCTCAATGAACACCAAAATGAAAGTCCTGAAATGCTTTGTTTGGTCAACCCTTCAATATGGCTGGGCATGCTGGACAATCACTAATAACAGTGAAAATAAAACAGAAGCAGCAGAAATGTGGTTTCTTAGGAGACTGTTAAGAGTATCCTGGAAAGAAAAGAAATCAAATGATGAAGCCCACGTGGGACGCTCAATGTTAAAAACAACCAGGAAACGACAAATGCACTTTTTGGGACACCTGCATAGACATAAGGGTCTTGGACATCTAGCTCTCACTGGCAAAATTGATGGCAAGCGAGGCAGGGGTAGGCCCAGAACAACATACTCAGGGAACCTGAACAATATTAAATGGGTAACAGGGAAAGATCAGGGAAACGTAGTTTTTTTAGAGCATCCGAGCAAAGGAATGGGTGGAAAACCATGACCGTCGATGTCTGTCGTAGATCTGGCACTGGATGATGATGATGAGTGTTGGTATAACAAACAATAGCAAACAAGTTACAGTTTTAATTATCCCCGTGGAAAAAATTGGGTTACAATGGCAAACATACATACACACATAGATATATAATTGTACATACATACGTAAATACATCCCTAAATTCACAATGCCATATCAATACAGAACTATTTCACAAAAAATGCCATTGCTGGTCACCACTGTGCTGCGCCCTATTTTCTTTAGCTTAGGTTGTCTACTCTTGCTCAAGGACACACCCCAGTGATCACCCATCTAAATCCAGTGTCACCGACGCTTGCTTGACATTACTTTTGAGCCTGAACTCATTACCCACTCCGCCACTGGAGTAATATGATGATGATGATGATGATGATGATGATGATGATGATGATGATGATGATGATGGTGGTGATGATGGTGATGATGGTGGTGATGATGGTGATGATGAAGACGATAATGATAAGATGTTCATGATGGTATTATTGAGGACTGGTTTACTGAGTATCTGTCATGCCATCACTCACCTCTACGTTTCGACTAGCTTCAGTGAAAAATCATTTCCCCTGTATCATCATTTCTAAGTACGAGTTAGAGCTCTATACTGATCAGACAACCAGCGTCTATGGTGTAGCGCTTAGGCAATTTGTTGTCGCATGCGGAAGACATGAGTTCAATTCCCATTGATGGGGCACTTTAAAAAAATCAATTATGTCCGTTTTTCTGCTTAGACATTGTGTCTGTCACTGCTCAAGTTTGGTCTGACAGGTGGAGTCGAAGCAACCCGCCTCCTAAATGGTCTAAGTAATGTTGATGGGGTGTAAAACATCTAAAATTACAAGTACAGATGAGACAGTTTTAAAAATCATTTTCTTCTTTGCTTTAGGCAGGACGACTACTGACCATTGTCATTCAAACATTATAACATAGTTGTAAGCTAATGTCATGTGCACATTAGAGATATGTTTCGTCGAATCTCCTTTTGATACATACACATTTGGTACTTATGAGGGCAGTCAAAAGCTGCCATTTTGGCACAATTTGATCAAATCCTCCAATACAAAAAAAATATTTTCTTTTCCTTACCATTTGATACGTTTGGAGCGTTAGATCAAAACAACCAATTAAAAGCCTACTTCATATTGCAGGTGTCAGATCTTAAGTTTGCCCGATGAATTTAATGGCCTTCCGGGTCAAATTTGATGAAGCAAATTGAACATAGTAGAGGCCAATTTGATAATAGTGTGCGCATGCACTGCCATAAACCGACCTGGCCCGACCCGATCCAATCCGATCATGCAGATCAGATTTACTTGACCAATAGGCACCCTCAATTATAATCAACAACTAGTCTCATTGTGCAGGGTGTCCCAAAAGTTTGGTACCATGCTTGAAAAAAATTCTTCATACATGGAAATAGAAGATTTGAATTTAAAGGGCAAAATAACTACTTGGTACCAAATTTAAAGATCACCCCTGAAACACAGGCGAGTAAAAGACAGTTTTCTAGAGTCAATGATCGTTTTGCTGCTGCAGGAGCTCAGTTCGAGTATATATTAGATCTATAAGCTAATTTCTTTCAAGCTGTTTTTGAGGAAAACCAAGAAATACTCAAATTTTGGGACACAATGTATATTCGATGTTGTCGAGACATGTTTATAAGAATGGTTTTCAATCGCCCACGATTGATGTGAGGCAGCGTGGTGAAATCGGGCGCTCTTCAAAATAATGAAATCAAAGAAACCGACATTTTCCCCCCGTTCTGGCAATGTTTTAAAATCAATTTTTAAAATATTTGGCTCAACACCTTTTATGTTAATTTAAATACACATTTGTATGTGGAACATACGTATAAACGCTGATTGAAAGTACCAAAAAAAAAAAGAAGTAATTTCGCATTTCCCAAAGAGTCTAGAGCTTTGGAAGTCCCCTAATTTTGATAGCCCCTCACCTTCAATCACAAATATCTCAGTATTATTTATTTAAGACAGAAAAGTATATTTTTCATCGAAAGCTAGACAAATGAACAAGCTTGAAGATAATACCAATAGCTCCATTTACCCAAAATTTGACGAGCGCCCGATTTCACCCCGTCGTGACACACAACTCTATTTTTCAAATTATATCCAGCTGTGATATAAGAAAGCAGGTGTTTTTACTCACACATCTGAGTTAAAAATTAAACTACGTTCACAGGTTTGTTATCACGAGCTATTTCTGCATTCTCGTCTTTTATTCGTTTACGTTTTCCGCCTTTTTTCCTTTGTTTATGCGAAGAGAAGCACATCGACACAATAAAGGTCATTAAGTGCAAAATAGGGGAACAGGAACATCTAAGGCAATTTTGACGTGATAGCTACCAGAAACATCTCCTAATCACCCAGTCTTTGTAAATCTGTGCTGTAACATTTATTTCCTGTTTCTCGCACACTCCACCTCCCCTCTCTTTTATCTCTCCCTCTCTCTCTAT